CTGTGTGTTTCACGCAGTTGTATTTTTATACCCCTGTGTTTCACGCAGTTGCATTTTTATACGCCTGTGTTACACGCAGTTGTATTTTTATACCCCTGTGTGTTTCATGCAGTGGTATTCAGATACTCCTGTGTATTTCACACTCCTGTGTGTATAAACACATAGGTGTATAAAACTTCAACTGCGTGAAACACAGTAGTATAAANAGTATAAAACTTCAACTGCGTGAAACACACAGTAGTATGAAACTTCAACTGCGTGAAACACACAGTAGTATGAAACTTCAACTGCGTGAAATACACAGCAGTATGAAAATTCGGCTGCGTGAAACACACAAACTTCACGCATGCGTGGAGTGTACGGGAGTGATTCACGCAATGGTGCGAATAGTCACGGCCTATTATTATTATTATTATTATTATTATTTACAGCTGTATATCTGAGCGACGAGTGTCATAAAGAGGCTATTTAGAGGAAGCAATTAACATTACATTTGGGCAAAAGAAGTTGTACTAGCATTGTTGATACTTATTGAAGAATAAGTTATTCAAAAAAAAAGACATTTATTACGTCAATGATCATGGCTTGAATTTTATTGAGTTATTTTTATTTGAGGACTGAACGAGAATAATGTCTTGTAAAAATATTTTCAACGAACAAATTTTATCTCGTTGATCCCCCCCATCTCGGAGCCTTCCGCGATGAAGAACAAAAAAAAACAAAAAAATGAAAATTAGATAAACGATTAAAAGTCACCTCGTAATGCGATCACGATGGCTCTAGCGCCACAAGCGGTCTCCCTGTGCTTGTTTTATTTCCCTTTACTTTAAGTTTTACCGTAAGACCTCCTGTGCCACGTCGAACACCGCTGTGTATTAGCTACACGAGGCAAATCCTACAAGAACCGTTTAAGAGTTTTAATAAAAAATGAAAACAAAAGAAGAAACACCTTTTGGCGAGAGATAATCAAAATAATATAACCGAAAAATAATAATAATAATAATAATAATAATGATATTCCCAAAGTAAATGAAAATTTTTCGAGGCGTACAACGGTTTCCCTGGCCGTGTGTCGATAATTCTCAAGGACCTTTGGGGACCTCGGTTAGTGTTTATACCACGTGTAAGGGGAGACAGGAAGAAAGTCAAGAGAGATGGTCAACCAGTACCAGGGGCCTCACGTGTTTTGTGTTCAACTCTGTGAACCAGTTATTGAATTTACATTAAAAAGACACAACGGAATCGAGTAATGCCATTTGGCGCATATTTTTTAAGCACTTTAGTTGCGTAGAAATATTTAATCAAGTCCATGCAAATGACTCTTGTTGGTTGGAATTAAATTGGTAAATTTATTTTGCTAATCTCTCGGAAACTATTGGAGTGAAATTAAATGTCAAGTTGTGGTTGAAATAGCAAATTTCCTAAGCCTTCATCCTCCTCCTTTCATCTATCTAGACTAGATGTTCAATGAAGAAATTGAATATGAAGCGACGACATTCTCCTCGAACTCAATCATGGAATTTCCATAAAATTCGTGGAGTGAAATAGGAACATGCATCGTGACAAAAAGTCATTGAGGTGGAAACGAGGAAGAGAGAAGAAACAACCAATCAGTCAGCACCACATCCGAATAATGCGCCGAAAACAGAAGCCAATGGGGTGACGTTGGATTTATCTTAATCAGACGATAATCTCCGTTAGCAACAACTTGAGTTGAAATCAGAATGTGATAAAAAAAAAAGACTGGAATTTCTTTATTCTCCTCCTATGTCCCGTATCACTTGCATCATGCCCGTTGGCTCCATCAGTGTTGAAGATGGTCTCGTTCCTAGTGTTAAGTAACGAGCACAAGCTTGCTTTTTTTCTCATTACCCTCCTCTACACTGCATTGGTCACGGCGTCGGTAAATTGACCGATAATGTTGCTTGGCACTGATTGCTGGATAGCAATGATGGATGCACGATGCCCCATCGATACTCCCTCTCCTCTTTTCCTTCTGGAGCTGATGGTACGACTGTCCGGGGGCTGTCCTTTTATATATATATATATAAGGTCGCTAACCTTGGTCGTGTTGGAGCCCTCCGGTTGTATTTGGCGCCATTGATTTCAGTGAAATTCAACTGTATCATTTACATTTCAATGTTTTTGTCAATTTTTCTTGTGCCTTTCTTTACAATTTCAATTCAATTGTATATATCAACCTCTTAATAAACAATAAACAATCTTTTCATCACGCGACTCTGGAGCCCCCACCCAATCCTTGGCATTAAAAAAATAATTTCGTCGGATTGTCAAGCATGTATTTACTCAGCCAGGATTGAGTGCGCATCGATAATGCATTCATCCAGCACGCACAGAGGCCGTCCTGGAATGCAAGCGTCTCGCATTACAACCGCAGAATATCGACGATGAGAAGGGAATGAAAAAATGAATAGAAAATGAACAAACGAAGAGAGGGAGCAAAAGGAAAGGAAAACCATGAACGACAAAGAAAAATTGGTGACGTTATTGAAAACCAGTTGACTAGTACTAGTTCGATATCCAAGTCATCTGCTCGTTATCGACTTATAATTGTGGATTAGCATCATCACTGGAGCGCTGCATAGTGCGTTGATAAAAAGAGGCAAGATTGATGTGAGAGAAAGAAAAATAAGTCCCTTATCACATCATTGAGTTTAGCTAATATAACTCTCTCTCTCTCTCTCTCTCTCTCTCTGATTGTTAATTATTCAAGTCTGTGAATTCATTTGACTCTGGTGGTGTGGCTTCACCTCTCAGACCCTCTTGATATACAATCTCCCGTATGAATTTTAATGCCGTTTGAATAATTGATGGAATTCTTTGGGGAATCTTGGCGAGAAGAGAGAAGCACAATTGCAAACTAAATTTCGTCGAGGAAGAGTCTTTAACTTGGCGCCAGTGTTGCAGGAAGCTCAAATGCATTTTTGAGCTATTTCTGGTGCAAAAGGTGGAGTAGTTATTGGAAGGTGAAGAATACGCTTACGAGAGTAGTAGTAGGCAGGCAGGCAGGCAGGCAGGCAGGCAGGCAGGCAGGCCGACCGGCCAGTTGGAAAGAGGCGATTTATGTGTCCTGGATAAACTCGGAGAGATGAAGTGGTATTTTTAATTGGGCACCTTAGGGAAATGCGAGTTAAATACTCCAATAGATATAATAATTGTTTTAGGTATTTTGGACGGAGCAGACAATTTAAATGTTCTTTTCAATTTAAAAAGATTCTCTTTATCTTGTGGCATGTTTTGTTGACATTTTCCTTCACGAGGATCAATATTTACAATAAAAAAAGAAGGCATTGATTTTATTACTCACCCCTTGGCTCCATCGCTCTCACCAGGAATTCCTCACTTGTGCAAATACAATTTTATCACTCTTCTCGACACTATTTTTCACTAATTCATTAATACAACATTATTAACACTCGCATGATGCACCCGTTACAGTAGTCTAACACTCACTTACACACTTTTCTGGAAAACTTTCCGATAATGTTCACTATTAATCGCAACAAATTCATCGTGATAATAATCAAAGGAGATGTCACAACATTTCAGTCAACAGGGTTGGAATAATTTCATCATTTCAAATGTCGTTTAGACTCGCCAACTCTATGAGACAAAGGGCATGTCCACAATTAACCAATAAACAATGAAAAAACAAAAAACCACTCTACAATAACGATCATCAGCCTTTGTTGTTATCCCTCTCAGGTACAAATTCATGAGACTTATCCGAATATTCACCATTAAATAGCTCAATTCCTGGTGGTAATATTCATAAAACACATCATAACATTCAAGTCAAGAGTATTTGGACAATTTCATTGTTAAAATGTTGTTTTGGGGTCTGTTTTTGTTGCACTCGTTGGACTCGTCGACTAACCGACTCTCTCAGACAAAGGCGACTGCGCGCGCAGCCCCTACTCTCCCCACCATCTTGAATGGTATGTGGCGCGCGCGGCCAGTTAAACTCGATTCAAGCATTTTGGCGCCATCTCCCAGTAGATTAAAAAAGATTCAGAGCGGAATACATATGTGTATTATCCGTGGGTATATTATATTGTGATTATTTTATTTATATTATTTATATATATATATATATATATATATATATATATATATATCATATAATAATGGCTGTAGCTGGTAGCTGGAGGAGCTATAGAGATGATTACAACAGTTGTATACAACATATGTACAACGCTAGCACCTCGTGGAAGGGGCATTACGATTATTTAAAGAGTCTGACGTGTGTTGTTTATAAAGTGCGCGCGCAATGAGCCAAGCCCAGGCCCCCCAGGCCTCAGTGTCTTGTATTCCTGCTACCACCAAGATGTCAAAAGTTAAGAAGATCCTCGATGAGGCCCGGGAAGTGCAAAATCCCGAGCTTGATCTCGCCGACAAGGGTATAAACACCTTCGAGGAAATGCCGGGATTGCGTGAGTAACATGTCAGATTCGCCGCCGCCACCGCCGCCACCGTCGGATTTGGTGTATGAGATTTGTGCTTTGAGGATTGTCCAAATTTGGTAGCTAGCAGAAATCCCCATTTGGAGGCGTGGTTACACATGCCTTTTCAAATTAAATTAAACACTAGACACATCCAATCAATTCAAAGATAAGACATACACCGGCAGTAGGCTATAGTATAAATAATTTTCTCAAAATATTGACAAACTGTGGTAATGTTAATTGCCAAATTATTTTATGGTTCATGACTCTCTTCACTGTATTTTGTATTTATTTTCAGTGAATATGTTGAACATAACTCGATTGACACTGAGTCACAATAAAATTCAAACAGTCCCCCCAGGACTCGCAAATCTAGTCAACTTGGAGATTCTCAATCTATTCAATAATCACATCACTGAACTGCCCATTTCACTGTCTCAAATGCCAAAATTGAGAATTTTAAATGTTGGGTAAGTCGAACCAACGATGAAGAATATTCTATAAATTCTTAAATTAAAAAAAAAAAAAAAAAAAAAATAGATTCTGCCAATGCATGTACTGCTTCAGAATGAATCGACTAGATGCCCTTCCCCGAGGCTTCGGCGCCTTTCCAGTCCTCGAAGTCCTAGACCTCACCTACAATAATTTAAGCGAGAAGAATCTCCCGGGTAATTTCTTCATGATGGAGACCCTGCGTGCGCTGTACCTGGCGGACAACGACTTTGAGTATCTGCCTGGGGAAATTGGTCAATTGAAAAACCTCCAGATTATGGTTCTAAGGGAAAACGACCTGATTGAATTGCCCAGAGAAATGGGGGAATTGTCACGACTTCGGGAGCTGCACATCCAGGGGAATCGTTTGACTGTTCTCCCACCAGAATTGGGAAATTTGGATCTTGTGAGCAATAAAGCTGTATTCAGAATGGAATTTAATCCGTGGGTTACGCCCATTGGGGATCAGTTGCAGGTGGGCATTTCCCACGTTATGGACTACATAAGATCTGAAACGTATAAATAGTAAGTAAAGATTATTTCTCTTGCGGCGAAAAAATCTTTTTTTTTTGTTCTGCTTTATTAATTTTTTTTTTTTTTTTCAATTTTTTCAGTGTTTACGATCGCCATCAAAAAGCCAAACCTCCACCACCAGCAATGGAGAACGACAAGAGCAAGAAAATCTCTCGAATGCGTTGAAAAGATGATATGAAATTGATAATTTTAAAGACTAATAACCCCATTAACATCTAATGAAAATCTCACTGCCATTTATATTGTTCATCTAAGAGAATTATTATATTTATAAAATAATAGCATTGATTTTTATAACACTAATATTACTATATGCATATTAATATTAATATTAATAGCTAATGAATTATATGTATTGAAATAAATAATACCGACTGTCACAAATGATTTTATTCTCAAAATCTCTCCTCTCCAGAATAAAGAAAATATAATTCGTAATAAGACAGAATGAAACATGGCAAAGTTATATACAAAATGAGTTGATAAGCTGTATGACAGCACAATGATTGAATTGATTTATAATTTCAGTTCAGTGTAGTTCATTTCAGTAGTCGTCCTCGTCCTCGTCCTCATCCTCAGTATATTCACACTCCTCGATGAGTCTCGTGAGTTCTACATCGTGATCGTAGCTCTCATTGGGAGAAAGATGGGGTGACCCCTCGATAAACTGCGCGAACCTGCAAAAACCACGAATTATGGGTTTCTGCGATTAATTTGGATTTCGTCAAGTCATATAATAACCACCTTATGGGATCTTTTAATTTCAATACTGTTTTCCAGGGGCTACATTCTGGACTCGAGCAAAATTCCTTCAACTCTCCTAGTGCTTTTCTAGTTTCTTTAATACCCTGTTGTCTGTATTCGTCTTCTGTTAGTAATCTTGGACGCTCGGGAAACATTGATTTCCTGATTGAATTATAATTTAAGTATGATCTCTGTATCAATGCCTGACTGAATGAAATTTTGAAAGAAAAAAAAGGAAAAAAGAAAGAAAAAAGCATAAAAATTAAACTATAAGAAAAAATAGAAGAATACATGTAGTAGGATTACATGTCCAACTTACCAGTAGACTTTTCCCTTTTGGAAGGCAACAATTGGAAAATTATAGAGAACAATTATGACAACACAAATGGCCATGGAAGCTTCATGAAAGTAGCTGCTAAAATATATCATCAGTAGTCCTGAGCCCTGAAGAATAATAAATTGAATAATCATTCAGAGTTTATAGGATATATGAGAATGTAGAGCGGTAAAGGGTGATAAGTCGATAAATCGTCATTTTACAGGAGAGTGCCTCAAAAAACTATATTTGCAGGTTCCGGTCTGAATTTTCTATATAGCTAATTACTGATTTATATGGTTATTTACTCTTTACTCGAAAATTTTTTCACATCGTAGTAAGTTTCTCTAACACTCAACTCGCAGGATCATAGTTAAGAATGAAATTCAGGGCTTATTCCGTTTTTCACTTGAATAAAAATATAGTTAAAATGATTTTTGGAAAAGAACCGACTTACCCTTTATCGCTTGGCTAATAATTTTATCGTCAATATCTATACCTGGAGGAACCACTGGATGATGTTTTTTGTTCTTGTGTTAGTTACCGGTCCAATTCGATAACAAATGATAAAACTGATGAGGGAAGTTGCCAGTACATACCACAGAATGTAATCTCTGTATTGTAAAAGAATTATTTGGCCGTTCTCCCAGAGGATGTTTGCCAGCCAAGTACTTAGGGTCCAGCCACTGGCAATCATCAGGTACATTGTTTTTCCCTGTTATTATAAATGATTAATTCCAATTGATTTTTCTTGGCAATTAATGGAATGTTGACTTACCCTTCCAAATAATTTACTGACGAACCAAATAAGAATGAGTACAGAAAAAGCATCTCCTAGAGTAATTCCAGTGATGTAATAAAATAATGAATTTCTGCTGAGTTTTGGAGCTGACCAGAAAAGAAAAATTCCCCCAACTGTTAGGGCTAGTCTCCAGATATCAATGCCTTAAAAAACGAGTGAATAAATTGGCATTTAATTGAAAGGTAGCAGAGAGGCAGAGAGGTCTTGTAATAGTCGATGATCAAGGAATTGAGACTGACTTGTTAATGTCATCGACATCTTGTAATGATAATTATTGGCTGGAGGTGTGTAGATACCAATGCAAATATCCTCAAAGGGATTAATCTTCATCTGTTTACTCCTCTTTGTACCAAACCAATTGAACCTCCAAGAACGCTGGCTGAGGTCGTGTTTCTCCACGACCTCAGGGGGACTTTTACCATCGTAGAGATCGTAAGTATCCAAGTCAGTGTGTAAACTCAACTGCAAAACTTTATGGATGAGCAGAAATAATGTCATGCTGACCAAGTTATTTAGAGTTTGTAGAGTAACGGAAAAATCGTGGCAATACCGTGAGAGTTCTCCACAGGTGAATGAGGTATCTTGATTTTGCATTGTGACAAAATATTCGTAATCCAGGTTTTGTATTTTCTACAGAGTCTCCAGGTTCCAAATAATGCACTAAACACCGAAAAAAAAACAAAAATAGTTATTAAATTATCAATTTTATATATAGCTATATGCAAGAATTTATTTATTTATTTATACATAAAAGTATACAACTGCGAAATTATTTGATGGACAATTACAATTCATCATATTGAAAATAATCAACCAATTTCTGTTACTAAATGAAAAATAAGAAATAAATTTTTTTTTTTTTTTTTTTTTCAAATAATTGTAAAATATAGGTTAGGCACTTCAACTTACAGGAATTAGCTCCCGCTATTTGAGCAAGAGTATGATGAAAAACAATAATCAACAAAATTCCATTGACCGTCGGCTTAAATTCCCCCATACTATTGTTCAATAGACTCCACTTTGAAAACTATTAATCCCTTTGGTGAATAGTGACGACTGCTCCGCCGAAAAAAGCGTACGCGCGCACGTGCATCAGCTGCAATCAGCTGTTAGCAAAAATAGCGGGAAGGATATTTAGTCAGCCCTTGGCAGAATGTGCCACTAGCCGAAAGCTTTAAAAAAAATGAGTCAATTCGTCTGCGTCCAAGTGGGACAATGTGGAAATCAGATAGGAAGTGCATTCTGGCCTCTGGTACTCCACGAATATGGAATAGAGACGACCAGTGGTGGAGTAAATCAATTAAAAATACAAAAAGATTATGAGAAAAATGTTGACGATCTTTCTGAGGCTTTCAACAGCTTCTTTCATGTTGCTGAGACTTCAAGAAAATTTTCATTCTCTAAACTATCAGATTTGACAGCTGATGGCAGTGTTAAAGCTCGGGTAATTTTATCAAATTATTATTCTTATTATTAAATGTTGCCATGCAAAACACTAATTTCCATTTAATAATTTCTAATAGGCAATTCTCATCGATATGGAAGACAGTGTGGTCTCGAGATACAGACATGGCCACTTGAAAAATCTCTTTGATGAAACTTGCACAGTAACAAATTACCCTGGTTCTGGCAACAATTGGGCAGAGGGTTATTACAGTCATGGTCGAGCTTATGAGAAAAAAATCATGGAGACATTGAGGAGAAACGCTGAACGATGTGACAGTCTCCATGGGTTCCTCCTCATGCATTCTCTGGGGGGAGGAACTGGCTCAGGACTGGGCACGGCTACTCTCAAACTCCTAGTCGATGAGTATCCTCATGTAGAGAGGTTTGTGTCTTGTGTTTATCCTGCACAGAACCAGGATGTCGTCACTGCGCCTTACAATGTTCTCCTAGCTACAAGGGAATTAATCGAATATGCTACTTGCGTTTTTCCTGCTGATAATGGGGCCTTGTTTGATATTTGTCGTTGGCAGGAAAGGGGGAGGGATAATCAGGACCAGGCGAGGTACAATAATACAGCTAGTCCCTTTCAGGATATCAATAGTGTTATTGTAAATATGTTGCTTCATTTGACGAGGTAATTGCAATTTTTCTTTACGTTTAGTTTACTTTTCATCGTGACGAAAAAATAATGGCCATACGGAATAGTAAATTAAATGAAAAAATTCCATTTGCAGTGGAGCAAGATTTCCTGGACATTTAAATGCAGATATGAACGATTTAGCCACAAATTTAGTGCCTTATCCTCATCTTCATTACATTTTCAGTAGTATCTCTCCCATATCTATGACAGCATCGACTATTCCATTGGCTCAGAGTAATAAGTAATAACTGTCAAAAACATGATATATTGTCTCCAATTAACAATTTCCTTGTGATTATAGTGATGATTTTCTAAGATTACAGAAACATTGATGAATTATTCACCAATGTTTGGTCGAGATCTCACCAGTTGATTAAATTTGATCCACTGCAACCAAAAGCTATGATAATTGGAGCTGCTCACATTGCCAGAGGCAATTGTTCGATGGATGATATGAGAAGAAATATAAAAAGGTTGGAAAATAATCCATAGTCAACTGATAACTGTATAATAATGGCAGAGTGAAATTTCTGCTAAACTGAAATCATGATCATGTTTCATTTCAGATTTCAGACTAAAGTAAAATTCACTCCTTGGAGTAAAGAAACAATGAAAATTGGATTGTGCTCAGTGCCACCAGCAGCTCACCCAGCCTCTCTCCTCTGCCTCATAAACTCTTCAGCAATGCGTTTCATGTTCCAAAGTCTGATAACTCAATTCGACAAACTATACAAAAAACGAGCTCACGTGCACCATTATCTCCAGGTGAATGGCTTCGAAGAGGAGAATTTTCTCACCTCTCGAGAATTTCTCTCCTCAGTCTACGATAAATACAAACAACTCGACAATGAAAAACAAATCAACATTCCAAGGCTCAAAGTGCTGTGACTTGTGCTATTCACCTCCATTTTCGCCGATAATACATGTTGTTTTTCATAATAATAACATTAAAAAATCATTGTAAGAATAAAACGGATGCACTTAATTCCCTTGGTCTTTCACCTTGGTCACCTCGTAATTTACGTGTCGTTAATAAAAAAATTTACTTTACGTTATTTTAATATATTAAAGCGTTTTGATTGCAGACCCCTCTGGGACTTGTTTGGAGATGTACATAAACATGAATGGCTGCATTTATTATTGTTTTCGTTTTTCAAGTTTTATTTATTATGTGGCTGGGATCTGTGGCAAGCCAAATTCATCCACCAAAACTCCATCCTGAAAGAAATAAAAGTAAATTAAAATTCACAATTCAATTTAATTCAATTCAATAATTGAGATGCTATGAATTATCATGAGGGAAAAAATTGGCAGTTTGTTATTTCAGTGGAAATGGAAATGGATCGTCGATAAAAAATATATATTTTTTGGCAAATGATGATGATTGTTCACCTTGTTCCGGACAGAACTAGCCCCAGGTTCCTTATCAGGAGCATTAGGTGCAGTGATGGCATCATCAAGATACGAAGTATCAGTATCAAGAGCCAAATCATCACCAAGCGCATCAAGTTCTGCCTCAAGCTCATCATCATCAATTTCTGGCATCCCATAGCTCCTCCCCAACGCCTCCTGCACCTCGTCCGCCTGATCTAGCATATCAGCCAAGTCGTCCTGCATATCATCAATATGATCAATGTTGATGTTCTTGAACTCCTTCTGCATCTGTTTGACACCATCCTTCATCGCAGCCATTGTGATCTGGGTGTCCTTGAGGGTCTGGGTGGCGTAGTTGGTTTGCTCCATATTGAAAGCCTGCTGTCTCAGGCTCTCCACCTGTCCCTCATACATCTTACGTTGTTTCAGCACCCTCATCGCTTTAGCCTTGACTGCATTCTTGGCCGGACCATCACGCATCTTTGCTAGCTGATCTTTGTACTTTTTTAATTCAGCATCGAGACGTTGTACCTTTTTTTCTGCTGTGTCTGCACGTCCATCAACCTGATTTAAAAAAGAATTAAAAATGTGCAAAAACAACACAGCTCGCCTAACCTATTAACACTGAAAATTCTCTTACCCCAGCAATGACATCAGTGAGACTGGGACCAGGTTCCTTGGCTTTAGCACGTCCAAACAGTCTATTCATCTTTTCAAAATGCACTGGTCACTGATGTTACCAAGAGTTTTAATCTCGTGAAACGTCAAACTGAACGACAGTTGCTCGCAGTTGCTTCAACAATACCAATAATAATAATAATAATAATAATAATAATACATAATAATTATAATAATAAAAATCTCCTTCTCTCTATATATACGCCTGCGCAATTCATTGGATGTAAGGCTCTGCTTTACCGACGCTGCTCTACCTATACTATATCTAACCAACAAGTCGAAGCTTCACGACGAGAGGAGTGAGTGAAGCCAGCCAGCCAGCCCCCCCGTTAATATCGTCATCATCATTACAATCACCGACACCGAGGTGTCTTGGTTCGTACAGTGTGTAGCGTGCAGCGTTCAGCGTGCAGTGTGCAGTGTGAGGATCTTCTGTACAAAAGGAAAGAGAGAGAGGTGAAGGTGTCGAATTTTTATAATTGAATTAAAAAGAGTTAAGTAGCGCGTTGAGGGAATCGAGACAAATCAAGAGAAATCGAGAAACATGTTCCACCTGAATAAATTGTCACTAAAGCCGGTGGCTGATATGCCTGGAGTGTTGGCGCGTGCCGTTCCAGCGGCCCTACAGGCCCGTACTTACGCCGATCATCAGATTCCCGATCGTCTCAAGGACATTCCAAACGCCGAAAATCCAAAATTTTTCAACATGATTGAGTACTTCTTCCATCGTTCCTGTCAAATTGCTGAGGACAAACTCGTCGAGGAAATTGGAAGACGATCAAAAATGACCATCGAGGAGAGGAGGAAGAAGGTCAAAGGAATTCTTATGATGATGGAGCCCTGCGATCACATTCTAGAAACTACTTTCCCCTTGAAACGGGACTCGGGGGATTATGAGATGATTACGGGCTACAGGGCACAGCATTCCACTCATCGCACCCCATGCAAAGGAGGTGAGTTTTCACTTATTTATCACTTTTTTCATCAACTAACATTTTTCTAAAAATCAGTCTAAAGGTGAAATGATGTTTGAAATAATAATCTCATCCTGAGACAATGAAATAGAAGATTGTTCCATACGATAAATGATGATAACCAGCTCACTACGTTTGTCTCCCCTACTATTCGTCAATCTATCAAGCTCGCGTTATCAGGAAATGTTTTAATTCTTATCGACAATCCATTCCCCATGAGAGAATAGAAAATTATTTCTCAAAAACATTGACATGATATTTGTGAAATAAAGCCAGAGCAACAGACGTCTCATTTATTTATTTATTCAAATGGAAAGACTCGAATTATCCTGACACTTGTATATAAATACAATCTTGGCAGTTATCGATGACTGCCAGATGCTCACCGATTTAACCCCGATCAACTTGGGGTCTTGTGACAGTATTTCAACAATGCGAGGCATTATATTCTCTACAGCAGTACGTGCTTTTCGTTTTGGTTTTGTGGATTTTTTTAAAACTGAAGGCTGCGGCGTCCCACGAGTCTTCTATTCCAATTTTTATGAGTTTTGTGATGAACAAGTGGTTTTTTTTTCTTTTTTACATCATCATGTTTGAGGCCAATTGGATTCATTTAAATCTATTGGACTACTGCTTAGAGCCACAATTTATTTGAAATGTTGTTTCTACTCAGATGAATTTGATTGATTCAGATGAAGTAACACCTTGTTGTTGTTATTGCATTCTATGCAAGAATTTTGATGAATATTTGTGAAAATGGAGCCCAAACATTTTTCATTTTCATTTTCTCTGAGTTGAGTCAACCTTTAATAGAAATTCCATCGTTCCAAGAAAACGATCTAATGAGGTCATGCAGGAGTGAGAAGCTGTCGGGGTTAAGCTCACTTATGTACAGCAGCTTCATTCAAACGGGTCACTCGTCGTAATGGTACGAGGAATTTTAAAAATAGACGGCAGGCTTGTCCTAGTGATTCGTAGGCCGAGTAAACACATTTCACCTCACTAGGTGTCACGTGGAAGGCATTTTTCTCTCCGTTTTCAATGTTGAGAGAGAGAGAGAGAGAGAGAGAGAGAGAGAGAGAGAGAGAGAGAGAGAGAGAGAGTGTTTCGTGTGCTTCGTTGATTAGAACTTCTGAATTCACATGTGTCTCTTGTCAAGTTTAGGTTTTCTTATCAATTTTCACTCCAATGTCATTAGGTCATGATAAAATAATGTTGCAAAAGAGTACCGGCGTACCGTGCTGTTTAAGCACAACTGGCATTGACCAATGGCTAATTTATAGATACTGACGAAGCGAAATAAGATATTTTTATTCATTAATTTTTAAGGAAAGAAATTTTTTTTTGAAATTTTAATTTGATACAGCGATTTGCAGAGTCTGCAGTGTCGATATCATACACACACACACACACACACTGCAGGAGGTTTAATAAACTCCGTTGATAGCCCTTGACTCACCCTGTGTATGTGTATATAATTTGCACACTAGGCCTTGACATTGTATCAATCAATTATTTAAACAGGTTCCCACGAAAAAATCAAATGACATTGGGACAATTAAACTGGTAAATACCTGTTATATTTCACGCAACATTTCAGGTATTCGTTTCTCGATGGATGTTAGTAGAGACGAAGTCAAGGCACTTTCAGCTCTGATGACCTTCAAGTGTGCCTGTGTCGATGTGCCATTTGGTGGTGCCAAGGCGGGAATTAAAATCGATCCTAAAAAATACTCTGAACATGAACTCGAAAAGATAACTCGTAGATTTACATTGGAATTGGCTAAGAAAGGATTCATTGGTAAGGACAAACAAGATATTTTCAATTTTTCAACATTGTTTTAATTAATGTCGAATTAGAATGGAAAAAACATTTTCATCCTCAGGACCTGGTGTTGACGTACCAGCCCCAGACATGGGCACAGGAGAACGTGAAATGTCTTGGATCGCAGACACCTTCGCCAAGACAATTGGCCACCTCGACATCAATGCTCACGCCTGTGTAACAGGAAAGCCCATAAACCAGGGTGGAATTCACGGTCGTATCTCAGCAACAGGTCGAGGTGTCTTCCACGGTCTCGAGAACTTCATCAACGAAGCCAATTACATGAGCATGATCGGAACAACCCCAGGTTGGGGTGGCAAGACCTTCATCGTCCAGGGTTTCGGTAATGTGGGACTCCACTCGATGCGTTATCTACATCGTGCTGGGGCCACTTGCATCGGTGTCATTGAGCACGATGGCTCGATCTACAATCCAGAGGGCATTGACCCCAAGGCTCTGGAGGACTACAGACTCGATAATGGAACAATAGTGGGATTTCCTGGGGCTCAGCCTTATGAGGGGGAGAATCTCATGTTCGAGCCTTGTGATATCTTTATTCCTGCTGCCATTGAGAAGGTTATCAACAAGGATAATGCCGGACGTATTCAGGTAAATTATCTGAAAAATTTGTCAAAATTTTTCATTTTCTCACTGAAATTTATTCATTTTTTCTCATTATCGGATGGTAGGCTAAAATAATTGCCGAGGCTGCCAACGGCCCAACCACCCCAGCCGCCGACAAAATTCTCATAGAGCGCAACATTCTCGTAATACCTGATCTCTACATAAACGCCGGTGGTGTTACAGTCTCCTTCTTCGAGTGGCTCAAGAACCTCAATCACGTATCCTACGGTAGACTCACATTCAAGTACGAGAGAGAATCCAATTATCACTTGCTGGGTGAGTTTGGCCATCTATAATTCATCATAGGATCAAATGATTTTTCAATCTAGCCATTGCATAATGCATAATGGCTATTTATTTATTTATTTATTTATTTATCATTACAGAGTCTGTCCAGGAGTCACTTGAGCGCAGATTTGGACGTGTCGGGGGGAGGATTCCTGTCACGCCATCTGAGGCATTCAATAAGAAAATTGCTGGTGCTTCCGAAAAAGATATTGTTCATTCCGGTCTTGATTATACTATGGAACGATCTGCTAGGGTATGAATAAATAATTAACTAATGAGGTTGCCCCTTCATTACAATTATTTTCTCTGTCATTTTCTTTTATTCAAAAGATTATAAGAGATATTTTTTCTCAACTCATATCATTAATGAAAGAATTTGTTTTTTGTATCTCAATCATTTTTTTTTATGCAGGCTATCATGAAGACTGCCATGAAGTTCAACCTTGGTCTTGACCTGAGGACAGCTGCCTACGTAAATTCGGTCGAGAAAATTTTCACAACATACTCTGAGGCTGGTCTTGCATTCTAAGAACCCAGTCACGATAGAATAGAAAAAAAAAAGAAACAAAAATTACAAATCACGGGTCACAGAGTGTCAGCCAGTATTCAAATATTTTCATCGACTCTATTGTTCAAATGATAAGAAAAAAAAAACATAACGAAGCCAATCTTTACAATTGCAAGAATGACAGATAAAAAGAGAAATTTAATTATTCTTTATTTCTCATTAATCGTTTTTCCAATTGTGATGGGCATCGAAAATTGTTGAAAGAATAATTATAATAATAATAATGAGAGTGCTCAGTAGACTCGATATTTACCACTAGTTGGCAACAAACATGTCACGCAGCATCGATAGTCAATGCAATACCACAGTAACGTGTTACTTAATTTACAAAAAAAAAAAAAGGTGCAACACCAAGCAATGTCAGTGAATCAAAATATCCACATGCACAGAGACTGTTGCAATTAATGCGCGGAATTTTTTTATGTCAATTTTTATCGATATCGCAAAGTTTTTCATTGAAATGTATAAACTCGATGATAGCATTTACACGCTGAATTGAATTTTAGATTAAACAATCATTGAGTCGTGATTCAATTGACAGTAATTTGTGAATCTTAACTTACGAATTATGATTCATCCGATATGACTGTACTTTCTACTGATATTGAATGCAAAATGTATTATATGAGTGACATTTACAGTTGTACTGATGTTAATACTCCGAAAGCAACATTTTAATATTAAAAGATAAGCTCACTTGCGTCAGAATGGTTATTTTTTTAATTCAGTTTTTTCATACCTTTCATTCCCAAAAATATTTTTTTTGTTCTTTTTATTTTTTTCTTCTTGGATGGAAATGATTCTATACATATACATTCAGGAGGGTGACAGACGAGAATTTCTCAGCTTAATTATGAAATTCTTTGCAGTTTTAATTATCAACAAGTGTACCGAAAATTTCAGCTAAACATCCTTAACAGTGTAGTCATTTATTCATTGCTAATTTATGATAATTTCGACATTATTTTAATTTGATTAAATTGAAAATGATTTCATTGATAAACACATTGAAAATATTAAAATATTTTAATCGAATAAATTTCTCAAATAATTGTATTTTACATATTTAATAGAATCATTAATATCTTTACCAGTAAATTTTTCAATAGCGCTCATAAGGCTCGTTGGTCTAGGGGTATGATTCTCGCTTCGGGTGCGAGAGGTCCCGGGTTCAAATCCCGGACGAGCCCGTTGAAATTCATTTTTTGTTTCAACTTTTAAATTCAATCAATTCGATTAAAATATAGCAAACTCAACAGCATTTTTAAAAATAATAAATTTGTTCCGTTCTACTCGAACATTTGTGTTTTTTATTTTTCACGTAGGTTCTTGATCTACTCCGTTTTGAATAGTTTCAGCAGAGTACAATGTGACACGTCTCTGTTTTTATCTCGATATACATACCTACACAATACACGAAACGTCAAGAAAACATGGCGCTCGCCTGGAACGACTCAAAAAAGCATAGTGATAGAGAAAGGTAATTACTAAACATTAAATAATTCAATTTATCATTCTGATAAATTGATGAATAATAACATCATTATGTACAGTTTTTTTTCCATTTTTGTTCAATTCCCCCCGGTCACTTTTACATCTATGACACTGATGTGTCCTGTTCTAACCTCTTCATTATCTGTAAAAACATTTCATTTTTCGCCTGTCGCTTGACAACGAATAAAAGTCATCTTCTCTTAACTGATAGGACAATATTACAAGAAATAATTTTTTCAATTCAAGTGTTTTATAAAATTTTCAATTTCCGAGAAGCGTAATTAAACAAAAAAAAAATCACAGTGAAAATAAATATCCATTGAATTTTCGACATTTATTAATTTTAGATGGGTCTGCATCTACCCAATCTACCTAAACAGCAAAAAAACCCGTGCAGAAGGTAGAAAGCTCACGAAATCAAAATGCATTGAAAATCCAACCCACCAAGAGATTCGTGATGTTCTCACAGCAGCAGGTCTCAACGTTGGTGTTGAGAACAAACTCCACCCAAGGGAACGTAGCAAAGAGCTCTTGTTCAGAGGACGTATCCGTGTCCAGCTGAAGGATGACGATGGTAAGCCAATGAAGCCAGAGTTCCCGACCAGGGATTCCCTCCTGCTCTACTTGGGTAATACAATCCCCAACTTGAAGACGAGACAGGGAAAGCAAAATTCTGCTGAGCAGACCACTCACCAGCCATCAACCTACTCCTCGAAGAAGGCTAAAGGAAAGGGCAGGAGATGAGATATCTATGAAAAGAATTGTATCAAGAGAACTCAACTGTCCTTCCTGTTTCATCGGTGGTAAATAGAGAGGAGATATTATAATAATATAAATTTATAAAGCATCTCTTGGATTTATGTATTAAAGTATCGCGGAAATCCACTCTTTTTTTTTAATTCAACTGGAGAGGGTAGGAAAAAAAACACAGTTGCAACATTTCTCTTTCACAATTCATTCAATTAAATGATACAAAATACACAACAGTTATCATGAAAATAATATCAAAATGATCATATTAAAAAAATACAAAAATCATATTAATTGTTACAAGTTCAAGCAGACTTGCTCTCAACAATTTTCTTCAATTCCCTCTTCCTCTGGCGTCCATTGACATTGGGTCTAGTTTCCCTGAGAGGTCTCTCACTCGTTTCATCTCTCCTCAATTTTTCATTTTTTTCCAACTGTTCATTTCCAATTTCTCCTATTTTCTCCAAGTGTTCCATCTCATCCATTTTTTGAATTTTCGGTATTCCTTCGACAAGTGTCTCAATAGCTGGAGACATCCTAGCAGCTCTCTGTTTATTACATTCAGTTTTCTTCGGAGATCCTAGGACAGATTCCTGAAACTTGTTGTGTCCAGGGCAGAATTTTGGGGCTGGTGCCCCCAGTTTGGACTCCTCTGGTGGGTAGATAACCCTCGGAATACTTAAATTCACCTCAGGCCTGTCCAAATGTCGTTGTATCGCTTCCAGGATTGCATTTTGGTGCACAAGCGTTTGTTGGAGGAAAGTTAACAGTTCATTAGACAGTGGAGCAGCTACCCTAGGTTGGGGACTGTATCCAGGCTGGACGACTATAGGTCTTGGAGCTGCTAGCATCTGGGGTCTTTCTTTTATCATTTGAATTGGAGGGATATATGACTTATGTGCTGCACTCACCTATTTAACGAAAAAAAAAAAAAAAAAAAAAAAACTGATGACTAGTAGTTTTTCTGGTTAAATCACTCATTACTGGGATGAATTTATATTGCAAAAAAAAATCAACTTGTTCGCTTTGCAATTGTATACTCACGATATTTTCCGTTGGTTCCTCCATCTGTGAAGCACCAAGAATAGGATGGCGAAGATGAGATTGAAGAGGAGAAATCAATGAATAATGAAGGGGAGAATGAAGAGGAGAAAGAAGAGAATAATGAAGAGGCGAATGAAGAGGAGAATGCAAATACAGTGGAGGATGAACAGGATTAATCTTCAATGGCAAAGATTGAGGCCACCCATGTGGATGAGGAATTCGTAAAGACTGCTGTCTATGTAATATATGTGGGTAGTTGTAGGGTAGCGTTGATAGGAGTGGTGCACCGACGATACTGTCTGAGGCTGAATAGTGAGCATTAGAGTTTGGAGAGAAAGATAGCTGAGAATCTGGGTATTCCACTGGCTCCGGTTGGGTCTGAGTTTGGACATTTGGCGCACTCACCGCATTATCGGTGTCACATTGAGGTTGAACCATTGGGGATCCAAGGACACCTTTCATGTAGTAGTTTGCTATGCGCTGAGCATCACCTGAAAAAGAAAAAAAAAACAAATACAAATTCTCCATTAATTTTCAAAGTTCCTTTTATTGTCATTTGATGACAACAATAATGGAGTTGAAAGTATTGATAATAATTTTTTTTTTAATTACTTGTTCTAATATGGTGCGTCCTCAAGTTACACCTGGCAGGTCTCTCTGCAGTAGCAGCTTCACAGTCCATAAAATCCATTCCCAAATCATCAGCCTGTCTCTTAATCCTCGTCATACATTCGCCTGATGATGAATGAAGAAAAATTTCGAAAGATCCAGATATAATGACAAGGTCAAATAGGATAATTAAATTATTCTCGGATAATTTTTTTTTTACCCTGCTCATCATTTCCATCAGGAACGTAGCACTCGCAGCGCCCATCAACGAACGATCCTGTCCCCTGACAGCTGTTGCAGAGGTCCAGACACGTTTGCGCATCATTGGCATTCAAAATTTCAGCGTAAACTGAAATTGATTAATTTCAAAATTTATTAGCATATATACAAAATTTATTAACCACACATTTATTATTCACCTGCAGTGAAGATCACTGCCAATAACATTAACTTCAGCACCATGGATATTACGGTGATTTCGGCAATGAATACAATAAAACTGATATTCGGCGAATTCAACTGGTGAATTTATACACTTTTGCATTTTGCTGATGATGAATTTTTCGTGGAGCACGTTAATTCGTTGGTATTTTGTAATGTCGTAATTGTGGTAAACTTTTGTGAAAGAAGGTCATTTCAACTTAATTAATTACTTTTTTTTTCCCAATGTTTTGCAATTAATATTGCAAATTATTATTATTATTATTATTATTATTATTATATAAATGACAAAAAATATATTACTTTTCTTATTCCAAAATATATGAGAATAATATGGGAACATTATTTCATTTTGAAAGAGCATTATTAATTATTCATAATTTTTCCGAGCTTTTAATGACTCAATACTCATTTATTGAATAATACTGTTTAAATGATTATTCTCCTTACATTGTGCATTAATAAATTAATTCATCATATATTGCAAAATATTTTTAGCGTATAGTTTTACCGTTAAAAATCACTGCTAAAACAATAAAATAATTTGTGATAAATAGTTGTTTGGGTGTTTGGCTAATGAATTGGATCGCGTCGAGTGGTAAAATAGGACAAGTTGAGGTGAATTCAGGGATAATCCGATTTTGAAAAATCGAGAGAGACAACTCTGTAAATGTTTGTAGAGATCATTTTAGTATAGGAAGCACAAAGGTATATTTAAAAATAAAATTTTAACAATTTTTTCTTTATTTGCAAAAAATTTAAAGATATTTATAAAAAATTGGTAGTTTCGTTATTTAATCCTATCACCTATCACATTGATTTTTGATGAATATTTTTGAAAAACAATGGCATATATTGAAATTATCATGGACTTTGAAAAGAGGATATTTTAAAATTATTTTATTCATTTTTATTCATATAAATTAAGCACAAGCACCGCTCGTAGCCATCATGAAAAAAATTCCAACAGGCCAAAACAGAACACCTCCGTTTATTTGCATCTAAAATTTCCGAATTAATTTCTCCAACAGCTTATAACACTCCTCCCTATATTTACGATCAATGACGTAAGCTTTCTTTCTAAAACTATCAAATAGTCTCTTCTCGACGAAGATAATTTTCTCACTAGTCTCGAGATTGTTGAATACCCAGGTTCTCAGTTGTGCAAGTTTTCTTGCCAATTTCTTGGGATTATCTTTGCAAGAATTCTCCAACATCAATATTTCTCTGTGTATCTTTCGCTGCATCTCACCAAGCAAATCCACACGCCTCGTGAATTTCCTTATGTCCTTGTACGACTCACTGTACTCCCTTCGCATTTTGTCTCTCACTTCATTTGAAATCTGAAGAATAAACAGAAAGAGATAAAATTCATTTCAAACATTTCTGCTATTTATTCTTCATTTCGTTTCATACCTTGATCACTCCCCGATTAATTTTCTCCCTATAAACAGGACTTGTCTCAATGAATTCCTTGAGAATCGTGTCCCGTTGTATCCTGTGCTCTGAAATCCACTGATTGACCTTCTCATTGATTCTCTTATTATCGTAATCCATCAGAAAGGTCTCCTCATTGTTTATATTGTCGTCGACGCGAGCCAGAATTTCACAACTCCAGTGCAACACACGATCACGTTCCTCCATTAAGTCTTCCCAAGTTTTGGGCATACGACCCACGAGTTGACCCATTTAGCTATCAATAAATTTATATTTAGTAACTCAATTAAAGTATTACTCCAGAATAAAATGAAGGGAGGGATTATCGTCAGAAATGGGAGTAATCCTATGATCAGAATTATCTGATGAGATAGCTGGTGAGATTTTCATTTTCAGACAGTTTATTTTTCACCATGAAAATGACGAGATATTTTCTTCGGATGTTTTTTCATTAAACCATTAAATATTTTTTCATTAAACATTTATAATTATTTTAATGATTGCAAAAAAGTCTACGAATTTTCCTTTATTAGACCGATGAATTTTGAATAAAAAAATATATATTTTCACGGCGCTAAGATTTTAAATAGGCTTTTTTGCAAAAATTTTGTCAATGCTCAGAAAAATAATTAACTGATTTAAACATTTTTAATTAATCAATTGTGTTTTCATATTTTGAAAGAAATTGGATCTTGAGATTGTACTCCAAATGATGTTCTTTCAAAAAATATTCGCAAAATGTCTGAATTTTTTTGAGTATTTATCAAAATTTCCACTTAATATTTCTTTTCCCTTTTTGCTTTTTTTGTAGGCAATTACCTTCTCATAAAAAAATCCTTTGCCATTTTTCTCTAAATAGACTAGCTATTCAGATATGTGCAAAAAAGTCGACGAATTTGGATTATTTAAGACGATGACTTTGCAATAAAAAATATAATCCCACGTAGCTATGATTTTGAAAAGTTTCTAGCCCAAAATATTGTGGGAATATTAAAGAAAAATTAGTGTGAAATCATCGCAATAATTATCTAGAATAAACTACAAATTTAATAATAGTCATTTATAAAGATTTTCCCATAAAAATGATGATTATTCGAAAATAATAAAAGAATTGGGGGATCTCAAGTTTTTACGCAAAGAATTTTGAACCGGCCCTCTCGCGGCACTCGCGCATACTATCACCGCGCATATCCAAGATGGCTACAGACCCACTGATTCATCATGGCGGCCGGCCACTGGCAGAGGATGGAGCTTTTGGCGTTCGTCCGCGGATTTTCGGTGGGAAAAGGGATTAAACCGGGAAAATACTTATTAATCGTGCAATAATCAGTTAATATTGAGTACCGGGAATGATTTTATCAATAAATCAGACTTTATTAGTGCATAGTATTAAGTCCAGACCTGTAAAAAGTGCAATGGTATATTTCGCCATTGCGCAACTCACACAACACATTCATCATGGCGGCTGGCCATTGGGGGAGAATGGATGTTTGGCGTTTGTCTGCGGATTTTCGGTGAGAAAGAGCATTAAACCCGGGAAATTAGTATTAATAGTGCAATAATCAGTTAATATTGATGGCAGGCAGTGATTTTATCAAGTAATCAGACTTTATTAGGGCATATTATGAAGCCTACACCTCTAAAAAATGGAATGCCAAATTTCGCTATTGCGCAACTCCTCCGCGCACATTCAACATGGCGGCGGGTCATTGGCAGAGGATGGAGGTTTTGGCGTTCGTCAACGGATTTTCGGTGAGAAAGGGGATTAAACCGGGGAAATAATTATTAATAATACAATAATCAGCTAACATTCATGGCAAGAAATGATTTTATCAAAAAATCAGACTT